GTTTTGTGTACTACTAACGCCATCTGTTGAGCTAGAGGATAACTAAATTAACTTTTATAATGAAGGTGTTTTTGAATAATTTTGTAAATTTATTTGGTGGTAATAAAAGACAACGCTTTTTTCTGTCGTTACTTAAGGTGAACGCTGTGGTTTTATTTCTATCCTTTATACCATCGATATGTCTAACTGTCCGCTTTTGTATCCGGTCAAGAGGAAGGAGCTGGTATTGGGGTGCTCCAGCCCAGAGGACCAGTGCTTTGTAAAGTAACGCCCGATATTTAGGCTTGAGGTACTTACTACATCTAAGCACGCAAGCTTTTTCACACACACTTGTGTCTTTGCTGGGTTAATCCAATCAAATTTTGTTGGCTCTAATTTGAGACTTGATCCAGTGACATCTCAATCTCGGACACAAGTTTATCTTTATACCCTTCTTCTTCCATCCGAGGGATGTTTGATGAGTGTAAAAAGTTTCAGTGCTGTCATACACATAGCAACGAATGCTGTTATTGCGTACAGCGTGAGCGACAGAACTGATCTTTGAGAGAGAAAAGATTTATTTATTTTCAAAGACATTTAAATTGACGGATTAATTGACGACCCAAAACAGAAATTTTTTAAACCCGGACTACAAATGAAACCCCGCCCGGACGCTCCCCGGACGCCCAGTAAACTAGGACAAATCCGGGGAAACCCGGACGGATGGCAGCCCTAACTTCACCACAAGTTTGACATAATATTTCCTTCAATACGGCTCCTGTAATGTTAGCTTCCGTAAACAAAACGCATTGGCTTTGCCATTACAAAAGAACATAAGTTTACAAAATGTGACTGACGAAACTGTAATGAAATATTGGTTGAGCAACAAAGTCGCGCAATGGAATGATATCGCTTAAAATTAAACAATTAGTAAAATAACAATATTAAATAGCCTTAGTTTACAATCAATACTATTAAAGTGCGTAGATTTATATTCTTTTATAGTAGGAATATTAATTGACCAGTAAAAGAAATGCTTTTTTATAAAATAACCTCAAAGTGCGCAAGGTACCAAAAAGCATGGCGGTTTTACACATTTTTTTGCAATTTTTCATTGAGTATATTCAATTTATACGGTTGTGTACCACATTTTTGAGACTTTGACCGTTGGCCATGCTGGATAAAGACAATATAGTTTTTCAAAAAAATCCAGGAAATCCCTACTTAGTAACTTTCTATAAAAAACAAGAAGGTTTCTTTCGGGGGCATGAAATGTGACAAAATTCTCGGCCTCACCCATACGATGATACGAATAAGGATGCATTTAGTGATGGATAATGAGTCTGTACTTACTGAGACGATCTTTTGTGGAGTGGAAAGGACATTGGGCAAAAATGTATGGACGCTGCAACCACGTCCGCCATGGCTTAAACTACATTTGTTTAAAAGTTATTATAGTCATTATCATCTGTGCCAAAGCGCATCAAATTCCATCCAGGGGGTCTTTAGTTATTTTAAGTTAAATAGGTACAGGTAACGAACAAACATTAATGAAACAAGGGAATTAAATTAGTTAGTTATTTCGACCCTACAAGAGGGCTCAGGTATTATGCGAGTACTTCACAAGGTGTTAGGGTGCACCCAATATTATTCTACCACGCTAGAGTAAATCCAAAAATACCCGCTTGGGTTAGGGTTTTTTCAAACAGTCTGTTCGATATAGTAAATTGTCTTCTACGACTACAAATCACACAAACTTGTCCTCTGAAAGAACATGATTCCAGTTCATCGTATCATCCTCAGACCAAATAAAAAGTATAGACGGAGTCTGGCGAACCAAAAAGTGAAGCCGATAAAACTACGCCTCGCCGTATACATACACAGTTACACACAAACACATGCAACGAAACTACGCCTTGGCTTCTCAGTCGAGCTATCCCGACGCGCGGAGTGTGACGTAATAATAAATAACAATATTTATTAGAGAAAATGCCGAATTGTGTAGTGAAAACGTGTAAAAACCAATCTTCCAAGAATAAAAAACAGGATGGAATCACATTTCATACGTAAGTAAAGTTATAAACTGCTATTTTCAATTAATCAAAATCAAATTTGAGGTTGTCGCTTTGTAAACAAAACCTGAACGAAATGTTGCCATGATTATTCGTTACAGTTTTACCCTTTTGTTGGGTAGCGTGAAATATAACGTAACGTTATTGTATTAAATACATTGTGTGGCATACTTTTATATTATTCGAATATTGTAATGCATGGATAAACAATTACACGAAACATCTTTTTTCTTTATATATTCGTATAATTTTTTTGGGATGTAATACATATTATATATTATACGTTTTTTTTAAGATTTCCTAATCGAGATCAAGATCTAAAAGAGAAGTGGATTGCAGTCATTCGTAAGAGTAGAAATGAACCATTGTGGCAACCAGCTTCCCGCAGCGTGGTTTGTTCGATTCATTTTCAGAGCGACGATTTGTACTACACAACAAAAGGGTTACGTCGTGTAAAACAAAATGCATATCCAAAGGTATTTTTTTTACTATTATTATGGTTACTTAGATTAATTTATATTTTAAAGATCCCAATAATTTATTTGCTAACTGCTTATTGTTTGTACAAGTCCCACCATCTATCATGTTGTGGTAGAACTACTTGCTTCAGTTTCCCACTTACTTGAATTAAGTATCATTGTTCATTAAAAGTATTAGTACAATAGTAAAAATAATGTTAATTTGGTACTTAGCTAATTTTAAACTCAACCTTGACCGCAACTGTGCACACTAGAAAAATGCCTCATCTAATGTGCACACCGTTTTAAGATGCATCTACTTTTTAATGGCCTTTTTGACCCAAAATTCGCGATGTTTGTGGATTTATTTTATTATGTTCTTGTATAGGAACTAGTGATTATATTTTGTGTATTCTATAGAAAAACTCATGTACATTTTAATAAAAGAAACTGTTTATCAACATTTGTATATGCTTTTCGTTTTATCGACATAAAGTTGAGATGACTGATTTGGTAGCGATTTCAAGTGCCTTGTTGCGAGTGCTTGAAACTATAAAATGAACAAACCTATTCCATCCGAGACTTGTAACTAAAGTAAAATAAACAATCCAACATAATTAAACGTCAACACATAAATCAAGGCACTTGGATCTCGCATTTGTTTTTATCAACACTTGAAACACGACCCTTTTTTTTCTGTTGCGTGTTATATTTTATAATTGTATTAGGTAAGTTATTACATACATTCATTTATATATAGTACATTCTATATGTACAAAAACCTGGATTTATAATTTACAAATTTTGAAAATATACCTCATTTTACCTATTTAAACGACTTTTTTTATCTTCCCTGAGTTTACCATAATGTAATTAAAAAAATTATAGACATGACGCATTGTGTACACACTGTTTTATTGAAAATTTTATGGAGAATCCAAATATACGTTTGTGAAGGGTATTTTTACAATATAACAGAGAAATCGGCAGAACAATGCAATCGTTCCCACCCAGCGGGCGGGCGGTCCATAAAGAAGTCCGGCACTTGTAGGTGAGAACGGCACATGACCTTTGGCTCACGAGAGGTTTAGAGAATAAGCTTACGATATTTTTGTCTAATATTTTATAACGTTATTAATAACGTTATGGAATAACGTTATTACATTTTTCTAGTATTGGGGTGTTTTATATGACTATGGTAACACTGGCTAATGCACTACATACATAAAAAACCGGCTTCACTTTTTGGTTCGGCAGACTCCGTCTTTACTTTTTATTTGGTCTGAGGTATCATCATTGAATTAGTATAATTCACAAAACCGATAATCGTGTTCCAATGTCCGAAGCGTGTTAGTTCAAAAATCAAGTCAATCAAGTGACAAGGAGCGCACAATCACAACGAAGTCAGACGAAGGACTGCATATGAGTCGACTAGTTGCAACTGTAAGTATTTCACCTACCCCGTAAACCAATTTAAAGTGTCTTAATAAGTGCAAGCGCAGAATGGTCGGCAGGCTTCGTCTTAAATCTGATTGTATAATACGATATGGCACATTATTATGGTGACTAATAATATAAAATGAAAGTTAGTACCTTATTATTAAATGATAAATTAAATATATTTAATAAATTATACTTTTAAATTAATTTATTTAGCTACTTTAATATGCCCATGTGTCATATCTTTCAATTACCAGGATATTTTTTTACGATGTCATAATAAAAAAGAATAATTTTTCATAGATCTTTCGATTCATATTACATTGTTAGCGGATCTGCGTGTTTTTTGCCCATTGTCCTTTATTTACTTTCTGATAATATTTTTGGTTTGTGTATACGACATAACAGTCAACAATGTTCTAATCTCATATAAAAGTGAACGAGATTTCTAATTTCCTCGTATCATGTGTAGATACTGATAAATCTCGAACGTTAGAGTTCTCATACGTATGGCAACCCTGCGCGGCGCGGCCTCGCCCGCGGTAACACACATCGTGGGATAGCGCCTTTAGGCTGCAAAGCCCGGACAGCGGAAGATGCGGGTTCGAATCCCGTCTAAATCTGGACCGAGTGAATTTTTTCAGGGTAAAATTTTCTATAAGAATGTCCTGTGATTTGTGCCGTGTGGACGCGTTGGGATTTGAATAGACCTTTGTTTCATCATCAACAGCCTATTAAAGTCCCCACTGCTGGGGCACAGGCCTTCCCTATAGATGAAATATGGAGATTGGGCCATGCATGATCCACCACGCGGACCCATTGCGAATTGGTGGGTGCTAATGACTGCAGATGCAGCTGGGACCAACGGCTTAAAGTGCCTTTCGAAGCACTGACCAATGACCGACTATTGCGAAAGTTGCTCAACTGTCATCCATTGCAAGCCGAACGCACAAAACACCAGCGCCAGCTCCTCCGATCTCTGTTTGTGCAACAGTTTTTACAAGTATAGGTATTGTGGGTCAGCTTTAAACCAAAATTCGCGTGCATTTACCTTTCAGCTGATTGGCCAGTGTATTCAGGCTGGCCGCTACATCGGCGAAGTCTATCGCCGCCGCTCGCACCACATCACCAGGCTCCGGGACTGGCAACGCACATTCCTCAGACAACGCGCCTCCACACGACCGCATGTAAGTGCGCACGATGAAGTGCAGCAACGTCACGTTAGATTGCTTCGACTGCAATATCAAACGGCTCACATCTATCATCATACACCTTCAAATAAGTTGGGGTACAGTATCCAAACGGTGACAAATGAATGCTATTAATATGCCTCCACTATGTGTCTAACACAATGCGCCTCCACAGGACCGCATATACGTGCGCACGATGAAGTGCAGCAACTTCACGTTAGATTGCTTCGATTGCAATATCAAACGGCTCACATCCATCATCATAGACCTTCGAATAAGTTGGGGTATAATACCCAAACGGTGACAAATGAATGCTATTAATATGCCTCCCCTATCTGTCCTAAACAACGCGCCGCCGTACGACCGCATGTATGAGCGCACGATGAAGTGCAGTAACGTTACGTTAGATTGTTTTTATTTCAATATCAAACGACACATCCATCAATAAATATCTTTAAACTAATTGGAGTCGATGGCTGGTTCATGCATCATGCTCGTAAACGTATGCTGCCAGCGGAAATATCTAACTACTTACTACACATTCAAACTAGTTGGGGTAATTCTATTTTAACAAAAATTTTGAAATACGGCCTAAGGAAGAGTCCTCTGTGGGGCTTCATTAAAACGAAGTACGTACTTCTTGTAAGATAGTGTAGGTAGATACAAAATTACCTTGACATCCTTCAGCTTGGAGAGTATTTCCAGACCGAATCCATCCGCTTGCCCTCTTTGTCCATTTCCACCGTTCATATAGTTACCAAGAGTTAAAATGATGGCAAAAAGTTTTTTTAGACTTTCATTGGTCATAAGAAACTAAAAACAAAACTGATTGATGATACACCCAAATGCACGCAAATACGAAATCAAGAATTAATAAAAACAACAAAAGCTTACCTCGCAAGTGTGTTTTAAATTGTCCAGTTTATGCATGGTTGTGCTGATAGCATCCTCGAACTCTGCTTGAAACATAAAACAAGTAATCCGCTCTGCGAAATTAGGTATTCCTGATAAATCATGTAAGAATGCTTCTGGCTTGTCTAAGGGTATATCAGGTTTAGTTTTCAAATGTTCTTTGATCAACATCTGTTCTTCCTCTGTGGCACGCTAAAATTAATTTTTGTATTTAAATAATAATGTATCTTTAGTTCAAATAGTTTATGACAGGAACTAAAACTTACCAATTCGTAAATTTGTTGTAATGCTTCTAGACTAACGACAGACGTATCGAAATTGTAAATAGCATTTTCAATTTCAGAAAATTCTACATGTAAACTCTGAGCTAATATTCCAACGTTTTGTGATCTTTTGCTATCTAATATTTTCACTGGTTGTATTTTTGTCTTCACTTCCACTTTTTTCTTCACTGGGGCTTTAACAACTTGTCGTGAAAACAGATCAGTAAACTCTTCGATATTATCTAATTTTGCTTCGTCAATTTCTAGCCAAAGTGGCTTTAGCATGTTGGTATCTGTTTCTACTTGGTAAGTCTGTGGAGCAGAAGTTGCTAATATCCTCGTCCAATAAAGTGGTTTCATTGGTGCAGCTGGTTTTACTGGAGTCTTCCTTAAGGCTTAAATCAAAGAAAGTTTGTAATCATCATGCAATTCTTTTAAAGATTACTTTCATAATATGCAAATAAGTGAACTGAACTTACTAGCTCGCTGCATTCCCCAACCTCCGATCGGAGGTGCAGGAAATGGAACGGGTCCTGAGTTCATTGGTGGGGGTGGGACAGAATTTGATATGCTGGGGGAAGATGGAGGCTCGGATCCTGGTATAGGAGGTGGGGGTGGACCCATTCCAGGTAAAGGAGGTGGGGGAGGGCCCATTCCAGCCATTGGAGGTGGGGGAGGACCCATTCCAGGCATAGGCGGTGGAGGAGGACCCATTCCAGGCATAGGCGGTGGAGACGGACCCATTCCAGGCATCGGAGGTGGAGGAGGACCCATTCCGGGCATTGGAGGTGGAGGAGGACCCATTCCGGGCATTGCAGGTGGAGGAGGACCCATTCCGGGCATTGCAGGTGGAGGAGGACCCATTCCGGGCATTGGAGGAGGTGGAGGACCAATTCCAGGAATCGACAGTGGGGAAGGACCCATATCAGGCATCGGAGGTGGAGGAGGACCCATTCCCGGCATCGAAGGCGGGGAAGGATCCATTTCAGGCATCGGAGGTGGTGGTGGACCCATTCCAGGCATAGGCGGTGGGGAAGGATCAAATTCAGGCACAGGAGGTGGAAGAGGACATACTTCAGACATGGGTAGCGGGGGAATACCTGTTTTCGACACAGGTGATGTTGCCTGTGTGATTATTTCTTCTGTCGGAGGAGAAGGTGTAGTAGGCACAGGCGCAAGAAAAGGTACAATATCTGGTAATGGAGGTGGAGGAGCCACCGAAATGGTGGTAGAGGGTGCAGTAAAAACAAGAGTTTCCTCTTGCTTTACAGTTAGTTCAGATATATCGTCTGTTCCTGGCATAGGAGGCGGGGGAGGTGCCATGCCTGGCGATGGCGGTGGCGGAGAGGGAGAAAGTTGACTAGGTGGTATAATTGTAGGAGATAACGCCATGGCCTCTTTAGGGGAAAGTTCTGTAGGTGGGAATGTTAAACTAGACATATTTTTTTCGGTACTTTTCAATAAATTTGTACTTTCATATGGCGATGCTACATCCGATAAGCCAAATGGAGGTTGACTAGGTTCTGACAAGTTTTTTTTCTCAGTCGAATATAATACTTGAGTTATTGGTGCCAAAGAGCTTTTTGTTTCATTTATGATTTCATCATTTGTTTTATTTGACTCATTCCTGAGGCTGCTTATTAGTTCAGTTGATGTTAATGTGCTGAGAAAGGATCCTTCAGAAGAACTGTCACTTGGTGCACAGATGTTTGTATGGTTTGAATTTGTAGGAAATTCTTCAGTGTTGTCAGAAGCACTTGTGTCTTGTGTAATAATTTCATTAACTTTTAGAATATTATCTTTTGTTGCATGCAATGAATCTCTACATTTATTTAACTTACAATAATTCTCAACTTTTTCAGATCTATTTTCAGGTTTACTTTCTAAATCATTTACAATACTTACAGCTAAGATATTTTCAATATTTACATTAGTATTTAAATGAGAGTCAGGTTTATTTATCACAGGCTTATATGATAAGTTATTACTTTCAGAGTTAAAACTTGAACTTTGGACTTCTTTATTCAGAAACCCCATTTTATTTTTATTTTCTAAAAATTGTTCAGGCAAGTCAAAACTCTTCTCCAGATTTCTATTTAGTGCATCTATTTGAGCATTAAGTTTGTATTTTTCTAATTGGTATTCTAAATCTTGAAGTTTTCTTTTTAATTGGGATATGGCAAGTTTGGCCTCATTAATATCAGTAATTTCTTCATTATTGTTTTGGTTGCCTTTGTTACTATCGAAGGTATAATGTTTTGTAATATGTTCTTGAGAGATTTGATTAATATAATCTTTGTCAGGGGGCCATGCCGTCATGTGTAATCGACCCGGAGTTACTGGTTGTGATGCAGGTGCCTCCATGTGGGCCCAGTAGTACATCAGATTAGGCTGAAATTACTAAATTTTAATAAACAATGAATTGAGAAAACCAAATATCCTTGAAATTAAGCACAACACAAAGTAAAATTCATTCACAATATTTTCTCTTTATCTCTTAAAGAACACCTATGAATATGGTTCCAATATATTCATGATTAAAATTTTCAAAACTAAAAGTCAAACAACCCTCCCCCATCAAAGCTTTGTTTTCTGGGGTTATGGTCACAAAACTATTCTAACCTAACCTAGTGTTTTTTATTATTTAAAATATAAACTACAAGGTAATACAGGGAGAAGGTAAATAAAGACGATTTTTTTCTGACGTATCACCAGCCGCTGTCAGAGCATGCTAGCTTACCTCACTTGGCTCACACGTTATAGTCACAACACAAACCTTACCTACTGATTTTTATATTAAAGTCAGGTGAAATTTAGAATTCTCAATGGCTGTATGGTAATCTTAACCTGGTCTCATAGATTATTTAAAAAAACAATGTAACTTGTCAAAATTTATGGTCATTTACTATGAAAAGTAGAAAATTACCAAAAAATCTAAGTAAAATATGAGTTTCCGCACTTTGAAACTTTGCAGAATTACTTCTTATAATATCTTTATCTTTCCACCATTAAATTATGGTCAGCCAACTAGACGGACCTTATTCTATATTTAAGCCTTTTTATGTTTAAAAAAGTACATATTCATGGAAATAATAAGTTAAGGCTCATTTAAACCAAAGTTATTCTGTAAAATTAAGGCTCATCATGGATAACACATCATTCCATTTTTTTCCAATGCTTCAAGCCAAAAACAGTAAGAATGGAGCTTAAACTTGATTAGTAGCTTTTAATTTTTTGTTAATAACTGGTGCAAGTGGGTCTAAGTAAATAATTTATATGAACTTACTTTGAATATATTTTCTGAAGGTGCATCTTTATCAGCTATCTGCCGTAAAACACCAGCTGCCAGCAGATGAGTGCAATATTGTATTCCAAGGTTTTTCAAATCGGATAGATTCAGTTTATTCTTCCAGTGACTATTATCAGATAACGATGATAGAAACCAGTTGAGAAGCATCTGCCCTGTAAACAGAAGAAGTAACTTCTTCAGAGATATGTATTAATTAAGGAGGAATGAAAAATAAATCTTATATATTCCTTACTCTGAAATAAATCTATTTTAAAGTTTATGAAAAAATAATCTCGTTTATAGCACTTTTCAACAAATGTCATAACAAAGTAATACACAAAGGTGTCGATTCTGGCATGATTCAGAAAACTTAAAACTTATTTTAGCATCACTCTCTCATTTTCATTCTGTATAGGGAATGACAAGGATACACTGTTGTCAAATTTAAGTTTAGATTGAGAGAATCGTGCCAGAATCGACACCATTGTTGTCATTTCAATTTAAGGTTTATAGAATCATGGGAGAATCGACACCAGTGTTATTTAATTGACAGAGGTGTCGATTCTGGTGTGATTATCTTAATTTTAGAGTCTGAAGTTCAGACTAAACATCAGTTCTGTACGTCTATGGAACTCATTGCCAGAAACTATTCGAAAGGCACTCTGAACTCGTTTAGGGATCAAGTTCGGAGTTATTTATTATCCCAACTACATATAAATATGTTAATTTTTTTATGTTTTTCCATAACGCCCCTCCTTTTCTCCTTCATATTTATTTATCTTTCTGTTATGGGTTGGCTGGAAGAGATTGCTGCCTAGCAATAAGGTCGCCTATATGGTATACGTTCTGTCTACCATGTTTTAATTTACTTGCATGTCTTGAATGGTGTATTACAATAAAGAATATTATTATTATCAGTTTCTCCTTTTCATTCTGTATAGAGAATGACAAAGATACATTGTTGCCAAAGAAGACGGTTCTTTGTATGGAGGGTGGTAGTGTCTCCGGCTGTCTCTTTTTTATGAGATGTAGTGCACTGAAATAATTATAGTAAATGAATGAACTAAAAATTAGAAATTCTTTTATCGCTGTTTTTTTTAAATTAATTATTATTACATAATTATTGATTGGCATATTATTAGTTTATTTATCTATTGTTTTCTGCCAAATCATCAAATATATTCTATTCAATAGATACTAAAAATAATTATAGTGATAAATTATTCTGTTCATGTTTTCTTACATTATTAGGTACTTTGTGGGTATTTTACTTTGGTAAAACTACTCCCGTTTAATCTATTTAACGTAGCCCTAAGCATTTCATTCCATACGGGATCGAGATAATTACAACATTCAAATCAGTACACACACGAGCTAAAACAATTTCTGTTTTTTTAAACGAGTACATAGAAAAAAGCTACCACATTTCTGATAAGCACACATTTATCTGTGTTATATGACTGATATTAAATTTATTTTTTATATGTAACTACTTGGACAAGGTGTCCATGTCATACACGACTTTAGGACTCCTTTTAATTTTCTTATTTTTGATAAGGGCAACGAACAGCGTCATGCCGGCGATTCACCTGGTTATACATGTTTGCTATTGTATACTTGACACTCATCATCATCAACAGCCCATCTTAGTCCACTGAGGACGTCCTACAATACGTTTGTTTAGACGCGGTCTTCACTCCAGACCTCGTCTACTCTAACGGTTATCGGTTCTTCGGCAAATATGGCCAGCCCACTGCCACTTCAGCTTGCTAATCCGGTGGGCTATGTCGTTAACTCTGGTTCTCTGTCGGATTACCTCATTTCTGATGCGATCCTTCAGAGAAACGCCGAGCATAGCACTTTCCATAGCGCGCTAAGCGACGTTGAACCTGTGGACCAGCTGTACCGTCAGTGTCCACGTCTCGGCTCCATATGTCATCACAGGTAGGACGCACTGATTGAAGACTTTCGGCATTTCGTTTAGGCATTCTATGCCTAAAGACGAAAAAGTGCGACACGCCCGTGATACCAAGAGGACGTATGAGGGCTCAAAAGACGTAATTTTCAATGCCCTTTCAAGTTGTGTGGAGCAAGGGATCTGTGTTTTTTTTTTAAATTATGGCATATTCTAGAATGATTATTTGAAAAGGTTTTTTCCTATGAAAGGTGCTAAGGTATGAAATACTTAATCACATCACACTAATCACACTATCACACTATATAATATTATATATTATAATATTATAAAGGGGAAAGTTTGTGAGTGTGTGAGTATGTGAGTGTGTATGTTTGTTACTTCTTCACGTCTTAACGGCTGGAACGATTTTAATAAAATTTGGTATGGAGTTAGCTGACACCCTAGATTAACACATAGGCTACTCTTATCCCGAAAAAATGTTGGGACCAGAGGGATTTTCAAGAAACTAAGTTAACGCAGACGAAGTCGCGGGCGACCTCTAGAATAAAATAAACTAAAATCTCGTTGAGATGTTTTGCCATACCGACATTTACAGTAAAGTAACGCGCAATTGGGCATTAAATATGCCCAGTTGCGCGTAGCCTTTTAATATATATTTTTCGATTTTTTTTGCAGAAAGCAGTAGGTTAGTACTGGACTTTTAAACTTGAAATGACTTGTTTTAGTGGTAATCAGTTTTGGATGACAAATTTCTTCGTGAAGCCCGCCCGTCTAAAGTATGTAGTATAATAATGTCTTTGCGTGCATTACACATCGACCAATATCACGGCTGTACCATATCAACAAACTATTAATCTAAAGCTCAATTATGACTTTTGGAGATGGTAGATAAGATAACAGTCCACATTTTTATGTAGATATGTACTAAAAGTTTAGAAATATAGTTCGGTACACGTTTTATAACACTGTAATTGTAGATATTATGGTCTATGGGGCATATTAATACCCAAATCAAAAACACAGTAAGTACTTGTGCTTTGTTGTGTTTTTGGCTGGTAATCAGCTCTTGCTAGGTTTTGGAATGAAGTTCCTTTTTGGATGGTATGGCGGATGGAGGTTAGGTAAAAAATTAGTAAGATTTTTCCGTCACAACCTAGCGAGGCAGCTGGCTAGGCAGCTAACAAGGCAGCAGCTGAGTGGGTAGATAGATGGGCAGCTAGGTGGACGACCACTGATGGCGTGGGCTGTGGACCAATTAAAGTGTTGTTAATAGTTTAGAGTTAGAATCGAGGGATTGGGCCATAACCCACCACTCGGCCCCCGTGTGGATTGCTGGGTAGGATACTTTGATTTTTGGAATAGGGAGATATTGTGATGGATGAGCTGAATGCGCTCTGGGCCCAATCCGCAACGGGCCGAATCCATACTGTGCTGAATTCACACGGGGCCGAATCTGCACTGGGCCCAGTGCTGTTGGATACTTTTTTTAATGGAATCTAAAGATTGGGCCATGCCTCGCCAAGCGGGCTCAGTGCAGATTGGTGGATGGTGTATAAATATTTTTAACTTCGTTTCAACCGTGTGTAGAATTTTAGACACTCACGCAATTTTAGATTTGTCGATTGCGGATAAGTTCGTGCACTTGCTAGGTTTTATATATCGCTTTATTGGGAATGGAGGTCTTTATTGAAAAAAGGATCATTGCATATTGTGGAGGTACTGTGTTAAAATAATGTTGTAAAAAAACTGTATTTTGATAAAAGGTTTGCGTTTTGATTTGGGACAGACGACCCTTAATCTGAGCTATGTTTAAAATATTGTTTTTGTGAGTTGTTTTATTAAGAATCGGCTCGCTCGCAGATTTGCAGTCTCACCAAAGGTGCCAAGTGTATTGAGGTGTTAAGGTATCTTCACAAAAACGTCTCTTTATCAGTGCGATTACAGAACCAGAGCTCTAATTCTATGCAACTACAAAGAGGTGTGAGACAGGGGGATGTTATATCTCCGAAACTGTTTACTGCTGTGTGGATATTTTCAATCATCTGGACAACAACAGAACAATGGCGATAACATAAAAATGGCGAGTACCTATACACCATAAGAATAACACGCCTCCACTTTGCCGATAATGTAGTACTTGTGACTGAGACCTTGTAAGACCTGAACACAATGCTCGAAGATCCTAGCAGTATTTTCCAAAGAGTGGTTCTAAGGAAAGACATGGATAAGACGAAAATCATATCGAATGCCCGTGTTGTACACGTTTAGTTAAAATTGGGAACACGACGCTCGAAGTGTAGACTTTTACGTTTACCTGGTACAGACAGTCCAGTTAGGTAAATCCAACTTTAACAATGACATTTCTCGCCCTATCGAGCTTGGATGGGCAGTGTTCGGGAAGCTACGGAAAATCTACGTGTCCAAATTACCTCAGTTCGGAAAGCTACAGAAAATCTACGCAATTAAATTACCTCAGTGTCTCAAGACAAAAGTCTTTGACCATGACAAGTGCGTGTTACCATAGTGTTGACCTACGGAAGTGATACGTGGTTGTTTATTATAGGTCTCATAAGAAGGCTCATGGTCGCACAGTGGGCAAAGAAGAGAGCGATCGGCATGACATAATCAGGAATGAGAAAACCCGATGGGGAATTGCAGTTACCAACATCGCTCGAAGGATTGCTCAGATGAAGTGGCAGTGGATGGGACACATAGCGAGGAGATCCCTTAGTCTAAGACAATGCCGTTTAATTTGGCTAGCAGTGAACGGAACTTTTACTTACCTAGCAACATTATTTCCAGATGCATTGCGTAATTTCTAAGGCTAATAACGTAAACACTTTTTATACTGTACTTAATCGTCACCGCACCGATTTTTATGTCACATTCCAGTTTCATCTTATGACGTTTATTGTTTACAACTAATATCACAGATTTCAACCAGCGCATTGGTGTGTGTATGGTAAAGTGAATTCTTTTCTGAGGCACATGCACTAAAGCGCGTCTCTTGTCCCTTCTTGCTCCTAAACGCTGTCTTCGTGATGCAGATACCAGTCCAGTATTTATTGCAGTGATATCGTCGATATGCAATCCTAATATCGTCACTATATCTTGTACACATTTTTCTGGGCTACGATGTTGTCCGAGGAATTTTACATAATTAAAATGAGCTACAGACGAACTGGTAAAGTTCACACGGTTCGTTGGTAATTGCATGGTTGTATGTAGCGTACTGTTCGTAAAAATGTAAGTCACGTATACATACACCACTTGCTAATGATGATTTCTATCTGATTAATGAAGATAAGAATTAGACAGCTGTAATAGCTGATAAGGATAACAGCCAAAAAAATTATAATGTACCGTAATTGATAAGGTATGTATGTACCTACCACGTGAGAAAAAGTACAGGTACTATGAAAAATATATTTTTGCTACTTTCTATTATCTATTATAATGAAACAAACATATTGGTTCAAAGTGTGAAAAAAAAATGTGTTAAACTGCATGTGATCATCATCATCAGCCTATCAAATTCTTTCATTAGAGCACAGGCCTTCTCAGTCAACGGAATAAGGTTAAAGGGTTGCGGTGCGGACTCAATGCGAATTGGTGCTTTGCTATGTTGTACATGGTAGGTGGTAGATATGGAGCAACCCTACCGTGGTAAAACAATTGCAGAAGCAGCTGGTATCAACCGTTTAGGGCGCTTGTTAACGTGATGATTTCTACCCGGGTCTAGGTACGGTTTTCAACAAACGCCCTGAGGCTCAAAAATTTCCTTGAACGTCCACTTCCCTAAAAGTATATTTCCTTGAACGCCACTTCCCTGAAAATCTATTTCCATGAACGTTCACTTCCTTCCCTGAACGTCCAAACCTAGTGGAGGCGCTTAAACGCCCTTAAAAGTGCTCATCCTTAATCTGAAGCGGCTAAATCTAGGCGTAGGTTTTAAGTTTACTGTATCTGATGGGCGCTAAAACGCAATCTAATATATAAATAACACAAAATAAACTGCGCCTTATAGGAGATTCCAGTTTGACAATAAATACAATGAACTATCAAGAAAATTTATAAATGATTTAGACAACAATAAAGTTATTGAGAAGTATTATTTAATTCCGGCTGAAATGCAAAACATAGTTGAAAACATATTAGGATGTTGATTCAATTAAGTTCGGTGTTACTACTTTTTCTGTCAAATGAGTTTTTTTTAAATAATAATGAAATACTAAGGTAATGCAATATTTTGTTATTTGATTAGTTAAATATGCAGGCATTTGTGACCTATTTACTTCTTTCCTTAAAACCCACATCCGTAAGATACCGAACGACAATCTTCATAACCCTTTAGGAACATTCGTAAGTAAAAGATGTTCGGGAAAGTGGACGTCCAGGGAAACAGACCTTGTAAACCGACTGGACATTCCGCATTCCAGTAATAGGACCTAACGTACCGAAAGGAATCATATGACCGTACATCTGCGTGGCTTTAAATTGTAATAACTTTTGATAGGGGGCACCGAATTGAATCAAATAAAGACTAAATGTTACCCAGAGACACATAACATAAACGTATTATCAATGAATTGCATTTAATTCAGCAGTTTCGGTTTGATGCGCGAACAAACTTACAGACAAACCGACAGACAAACAGAAAAAAGTTCTATTAGAAAATATAACTAGAAAAAATTCCACGCGGACCAGGCAGCAGACGGGACTCGAACCCGCACCCTTCGCAATCCGGGCGAATGCACTGACCAATTATGCTACCGCGGCCCTCACGGACCGCGTCGAAATTCTTCTAGCCATTCTTAAGCTGCAAGGCAGCGCCATCTCTTCGCATTATAGGTAACCTACAATGTCAAATGAATACTTTTACAAGTATTAAACATTTGAAAGAAGAAATAGCAATTATAGTTATAAATTTTATTATTTTTAAAGCATGTAACTGCTTGATGTTTAAATCTAAAGAAAATATAACTAGAAAAAATTCCACGCGGACCAGGCAGCAGACGGGACTCGAACCCGCACCCTTCGCAATCCGGGCGAATGCACTGACCAATTTATGAATCTACAGATTTTTTTATTCATGTTTCATTTTACGGATTGCGGGTTCGAGTCCCGTCTGCTGCCTGGTCCGCGTGGAATTTTTTCTAGTTATATTTTCTTTAGATTTAAACATCAAGCAGTTACATGCTTTAAAAATAATAAAATTTATAACTATAATTGCTATTTCTTCTTTCAAATGTTTAATACTTGTAAAAGTATTCATTTGACATTGTAGGTTACCTATAATGCGAAGAGATGGCGCTGCCTTGCAGCTTAAGAATGGCTAGAAGAATTTCGAGGCGGTCCGTGAGGGCCGCGGTAGCATAATTGGTCAGTGCATTCGCCCGGATTGCGAAGGGTGCGGGTTCGAGTCCCGTCTGCTGCCTGGTCCGCGTGGAATTTTTTCTAGTTATATTTTCTTTAGATTTAAACATCAAGCAGTTACATGCTTTAAAAATAATAAAATTTATAAAGTTCTATTACTTATCCTAAGGCTCCCAAACCATTTTTTTTGTCAAAAATATTCAATGTACGACATGCGAGGCTTACATTTTTATTAAATACATGGATTAAACTGCTTGATTTATGAATCTACAGATTTTTTTACTAGAAAAAATTCCACTCTAGGTCACTGGTCCTGCCTGATGCCTGGACTGAGTGAAATTGTTTCAAGTATCCTTACATTAACGGAATTATCTTGTTCGAATAATGTAAAACCACCTACCTTCAAATTTCTCGTAGATCTGGAAGTCCAGTTTCTCGGGCACGAAGCGTGGTCGCACCACTTTGGATTCGGCGTGCTTATCGAGCGTGAGAGACGCAACCTTTCGCAGTACATTGGACTCGCCCATGGGCACTTCGCCTGTCACAACCGAGTGCCGCCGATCTTTATCTGAAATTTCAATAAAAATAAAAATCTAAAATTCACACAAAACAGCCTAGCCCAATTAAAGTACAGTAAAGGCGCTGTCTCACAATCTGTACTGGCGCAGGCGCCGTGTTGCCAAACGTATGAGAACTCTTAACTTTTGGGATTTAGCAGGCTCTATACATGATACGAGGTTAATAGAAATCTCGTACACTTTGATATGAAATTCGAACAATGTTGACTGTTTGTGTCACGTGTACACCAACCAAAAATATTATCAGAAAGTAAATAAATGTCCAGTCCACAAAATATCGACTCAGTAAGTACAGATGCCATTACTAAATGTATCCTTATTCGTTGGCCGGGGTAATCGGGCAATCGCTGCCAGATTTATTTATTGACGCTTAACGTGATAAAGCAAAAGCGGCACGTACAACTTTCTTTCATGTCCACCTTGATAACGGAGACATGAATAGAAAACTATCTCATCAATTTCTCAGGTAAATTCTGAGGTCGAAGACCTCCGTGGCCGAGTGGTTTGTACGCCGGGTTTCATGGTGTCGCCGACTCCAGATGTCCCGGGTTCGAATCCCGGTGGGAGCAGATGTTTGTGTGATGAATACGTGCATTTGTACTCCAGTCATGGATGTTTAATATGTATATTTCTATAAAAATATACTTATATATGTACTTTATAAGGAGCTCGATGGCGCCAGTGGTTAGCGCGTTCGGCTCCGGTCGTTAAAGTTGAGCAACTTTCGCAGTGGTTGGTCATTGGATGGGTGACCAAAATTTACTATTTCGAGCTCATCCGTGCTTCGGAAGGCACGTTAAGCCGATGGTCCCGGCTGCATCTGCAGTCGTTAGCTCCCACAAACCTGCACTGCGCCCGCGTGGTGGGTCATGGCCCAATCTCCCTAATTCATCCATAGGGAAGGCCTGTGCCCCAGCAGTGGGGACATTAATAGGCTGATGATGATGATGTATTCTTATCCGTTACCCTGGCATCCCATAACACAAGCCTTACAGTGTTTACTTTTGGGGCTAGGCTAATTGGTGTGAGTGTTGGAAATATTTATTATTTATTTATAAATATGTATACAACTTTCGAGGTTTTTCTTTTGTGTTTAATATAATTACTTATAAGTAGAAAACGATTTCCTGTATAAACTTGATACAACTTTACAAAAAAAAACGAGTTTTAGCCACTATAAGACGAAAAAAAAATTCAGCAAATATTTCGAGCTGAAAAAAATCATGCGGACAGATAAGTGAACGCTCATCAACTTTTGTTCTAGCAGTTTTCATGTAATTGTATATTTTCGCGAAAAAAAAAATATTTAAGAAAAAATGTATGGAGCGATAACCACTAACAAGTAAAATATTAAAATAATTTGTATCTATTTTTCGAAATCATTTTCATTTAGGAAAGAATGCATTTTAAAGATTATAATATTGAAAATATACGAAAATTATGTGACTATAAATGATTAAAATCTTTAAATGACACAAATAGTTAGAATTAAAAAATTGAAACTTCTGATGCCTATTTCGGCCAAGGCTGCACTTTTAAACATTTCGAGAAAAAAAAGTATTTCTGTTTTGCTCCATACATTGTTTTTCTTAAATATTTTTTTTCGCGAAAATATACAATTACATGAAAACTGCTAGAACAAAAGTTGATGAGCGTTCACTTATCTGTCCGCATGAATTTTTTCAGCGCGAAATATTAACCTTGGATCCTAAGACCACTATATTCAAAATCGGGATCACTGTGCGACTCTCCAACGGATCGGACGAGCCCGGACGACGCGCGACGGCGCGGCGGGCAATGGCAGGCGTCACCGGATGTGACTGTTCCCACGGCCTGTGCGCCAGGGCACGGTAATATATTACCGTGGCCAGGGTTGCGCCTATTTGATTATCTACTAACTTAAATATTATGTTATAATATCTCTGTGTTTATTAAATAATAATTAAAATATAAATAAGAGTTTTTTAATAATTCATTGGAATCGATTTTGATTTTTGATGTGTAAAATCTTTCCTGTCGCTTTCCTGCAATTTGTGGGAGTGATTTCGTGAAATGGGACGGAAATGTGTAACAGGAAGTCGCGAAAGCGCGCGCTATTTGATTTGCTTTAAGAAGATAATGTTCAAAATAATGGCTTATTCCCTTTGTAGTAGGTTTTATTTCTTTTTTTACTAATATCAGGTGAGGTTTCATATGTTACACGCGACATATCATACGCGACTACTGTAAGGCTCGCTCGTTTTTTTTTTATAGAATGACTATGCTATTTTATTAGATATGAGTGTAACCTGCAATAAGGTGTGTATGAATAAATAAATGTATCAATTCAAAAGTGTCGGTTTTGTGTTTCACTAGCAAGAACAAGCCTATGGTTGTGGTGTGGCAAATCTGAATCAGAGTTTCTAGTTTCTGCTTAACATGTTTGCACGAATTTGTTTCTACGGTTTTCACGCACATCACTCATTAAATAAAACTAGTTTTACCGGGTTAATGCACGAACTTTATTTATTTATTGACGTTTCGCAGCCTTTTCAGGTCTGTATCGTCAGAATAACGTATACACGAAGTTTATATTTGTAATTTTTTTATTGAGTACGTACAGGAAGTCGGTTTGGGGCTATTCATTTATTACGTAAGGCGATTTAGGGGGAGAGGGGGGTTGACCATGTCTTATTTTTTCTTACAAGGTGGTGGGAGGGTGTCTTAATAGTTCTTACGTAAGATCTCAAAAATGTGCAAAGTAAAGATTATACTTTGAAGAAGTAGTAATAATAAAAATTATTTGCACCTTGGTAGGTACAAATAAGTATTCCTAAAAATTGGCACTTTTTTTTATTATATTTATTTATTCTCTTTATAACAGTAGTCTGATTTATGCATTATGTGTTTTCTGTCTGCTTGTTTATTGATTTGTCAGACCCAGTCCCGGGGTGACGCTATTCCATACGTCCTCGGGAGCTGGGGAAATTGGTACTTTGAAAATAAACATTAGAATATAACAAACGTGTAAGTATTCATTGATTCTTAAGATTCTTACGTAATAAAATATAAAGCAAGGACAGTCTGTGTTGTGAAAACGTCTAGTAGAATAGATAATTTCTTACTATGACGACATGCTTCAAATATATGGGGTTTTTTAGGTTTTATAAATACTAGAAGTGTCCTGCAGTTACACCCGCACAAATTTAAGAAAACAGGTTATAGTGGGTCACACTTAAAATATAGACATTATATGATGCCGTGGACTTTTTTATAGTACTTTTAAAGGATAACAATCGGTAAGGTATATCGATATCTGATTTTTGTGAAACTTTCACCGCTTACCCTCATTATGTTAGCTATATGTGATACATAATTAGGCTCTCCCAATGAGGTTGAGTTATCGGAATGAAGGGTGCCAGGTAGCACTGTGGCGAGAGCTCTTGTCATAAATGCACTATCCAACATAAAAAGAATTATTAAAATCGGACCAGTAGAGCATGAGTTTATGTAGGCATATCCAAGCCAACACAAGCGGTAAATGGCAACTCAGACCTATCAAAAAGTTTTTATTTTGCACTTTTTTAAAGCCAGAGCAAGATCAAGTTACTAAGTACTTGGTACCCGGAATGCATTATCTCTTTAATATCTCTTAAAATAACCAAACACGAATTGAGTACTGTTTGTAATTATTGAGGAGTCGATTAATTTCCTATCCTAAAGTACCGATCTGATCCTCACCAAATTAATACGGGACTATATCGCCTAAAAATAATCATTTAAATCGGTCCACGCATCTCGGAGAGATGCTGTGTTTTCGAACCATACTGTGTTTTCGTAAATACTTGGAATATTGGTATGGTTGATATTTTAACTGATTTATGTTTTATCTGTTTTAGTTGGGATAATTTCTCTAGAATAATTTTAAGCTTTTATACTACACATATTGAATTAACTAAATTAATATTGTATTTTTATTATCAGTATTTATTATATATTATAAATCAGTATGTTATATTTTTATCATATTATATTTACTTGTCTTTTATACTTATTAACTTTATGTCCGATCGCACTAAACAAATACCTATCCAGTGACTACATGAATACCATTTTTCGGAAGCTCTCACACTTAGGGTTGCAACGATATATCGGAATATCGATAATATCGAGACCAAAATATCGATATTTATATCGATATTTAAAATTCACTGAATCGATATCGGAAATTCCAAAATATCGATATTTCGTAGACTAAATTTGAACACATTAATATCAATTAATTTACTTGCTATGACTATCTAAATTTAGAGCTGTAGCAAACCGTATGTATTCGGTACTGAGTAACGGGTGCGCCATCTAGTACCGAGTAACGAAACGTTACACACAAATAAATTTCGTTACTAGCATTTTTCGTAGTATGACTATCTATATGTTTTAGGGATGTAGAAAGTTGAAAAAAATATAATAGATACATCGATATTTTAAAAAATATCAATATCGGCTTCGATATATCATGAAAAAAACATCGACATATCGGACCAATTTTCCCAAAATTATATTTAGGTCAGCCTAGCACATTAATAATAACAATACAAATTATAATTAAAGAAAGAATTATTATCAAAGTACCCAATTGCCGATACACTACATGACAGTACGGTATCTCACGAAATATGGCACGCGGAATAATAATGAAACGAAAATTATCTCCCTAAAAGTAGACCCGTTTTTCTAATGTAGAAAATGATTGCAGGGCCTCTCAGGTGTCAAGACTAGACAGTCACACACTTCCACAGAATATAATGGAATTCAGCGCAACCAATTCACCAGCGAAACAGATTTACAAATAATAGACAATACTAAATACAGCACAGATCATAGATATGTTGAATATCATTAATCGGAGATCCAGTTCCGATTTTTCCAGATACGAATTTAGTTAGATCGTGATATGCCGCTAATAATTAAAAAAATATCGTTTTTGATACGAGTTTCGATATTGGTTATT